GCTAGCCTGATGATAGACTCCCACAGATTTTGCTTTTTGAATGATTTCAGTCTCCATTTCTGGAGCATGGTGTCCTAGGAATTCATGGCAATATGACAACCATGATATCCCTGCCTCACACAGAGGACCAAGCACTGGATCTAGTCTTTATCTCAGGTCATTCATTCATTCACAGAATTTTTATGACTGTCTACCTTATCCTTCTGATTCTAGATGGCTTATAATGCAGGAGAGAATTGCATTAGGATGGGAATTGAGGATGAAGAACAGTATCATCAGTCTATTGTTGAGGCTAGATCGCCATCTGGTTTCCTTGTGGCTTGTGGCCACTGCAGATCTCCTGTCAGGCACAAAGTATCAGGACCACATGTTAAGTTCTAGTTAAGAAGATTTATTGCTCCTGACTATTCACAAGAATCTAGTCAACTAAGGTCAGCACTAAATTGGCACTAGATAAGAGTTAACAAATTCAAGGCTGGACATATGGGAACATAACATTTCCAGATTGATTCCTGTCCTGACTCTGTCCCCAAGCAGAGCATCTGCTCTTCTTCTCCTACATCTCAATAATGCAATCTCTTAAGATGGTCTGTCCTAAGTACCTTATAGATATAACTGACCGGGTTGGGTGGGTATGTGAGTTTCCCAGAGATTGACTGACATTGGAGTGTTCGCCTGCCTAGTTGAGCTCTAGAATGTTGAGACCACAAAGATGTTTGATAGACTGCCCCAAAGTAGTTTCTTCCAGAGAAACTCATGAGCTCCATGAGAAGCATTGAAAAATGAAGTGCATCGGGGATATGGTAGTATCAGAGATGCTAGTGAAAAGATAAGAAATTAGGATGACCTGAATGCAAGTATGAGCTCTTGTTTGAGGTTGCTTGTATCGGTAACCATGGTGAAGCAATGCTATTTCCATGTACTGTGTAGTGCCAGCATTGTTTAGCATAACTCATTCTCCTTAGGGGCTGTGGGCCTTGAAAGTACTCCCACCAGCTATTGTGGGCTGATTGTCAGACAATTTTGCAGGAAAAATTGCTCACAGTAACTTTGAGTTGGATAGGCAAAGTAATCCCTCCAGATCTAGCGTTCTATGGGGTTTGAATGAGGGGGAACAAAATCAAACATAACCCTAGCAAAGTAGAGTTACTGTTGTTACAAAGGTTTCAGAATCCATGGAAGCTCCATTAACTGTTTTCAAAGAATGGATACACAATTTAGGAATTCTTGAACTTGTGGCTCCAACTACAGCAGAAAGTAAAGACATTGGCCAGGTTGGCCTTTGGTCAGTTTGTCTGTTTTGCTAGTTGGGATTTTTCCTGGTACTGAAAATAATAAGCCATGTCTGTATCATCTCACACTCAAACTGTTGAAATTCACTCTTTAAAGAGTCGCTTTTAAAGATCACTTAGAAGCTGCCCACCAACAGACTGATACTAACCAGTATAACAGAACAAAAACCCTGGTTTGAAGGCACCATATTGCTTGCTAGTCTGCTTCTGGGCCCAGTACAAAGGGTGAGTGATTACTTATTGTTAAGGTATTAAGATTTGACCAGCAGTGAGTAGCTGTATGATGCTGTGAATTTGATGTAAGTCTGGCTGATGTAACAAGAGTGATTCAGCAGAATATTGATATTTTCCTTTAAGACTGGAGAGTAAAGATCCCTTTAAGAAGTGTGTATATAAAAGGAAGCCATTAGAGGGTGTGGTTCTCTTTCTTTATGATAAGTATTCAGTGCAGAAGTTCTCCGTGTGTTAGGAAGAAGAAAGCTTGCTTGTAAAGGTATTTTGCCACCACGTATATATTATCTGTATATACCTGTTGTATATTAAATCACCGTTAAGGTCTAAGTCTCTGTGTGCTGTGTGTTGCTCCTGGGTTGTCTCATAAAGGTAATCATGCTGCCAAATGCTCTGACACTTATGTGGTTTGGCCCTTTATTACCTTCAGGACAACCTGTACCAGGTGGAATCCTATGTTCCATCCCAGATACAGTCTAGTAGAAAGGGGGAGCTACAGATACCCTTCCTTTGAGAAATCAAGAAGGCAGGGCTCCCCAGAATGGCCTTCTCAACAGCAACACCATTGCTTTGGAGTATTCTACCCTATCCAAGACCAATCTTTCATGGGATCTTCAGAATGGAAAATAATTATGGACAGCAGAGAGTAGAAATGTGGCCTTTTATGAGATTTTATAGATTTTAGGTGTAATGATTAAGGACCAAATTGGGAGAAATTGAAAAGACTGTGTGTTCTAGTCCTGCTTTAGGCACAAAGTCAACTAGATGACTTGGACCAGTCAATTCTTTTTCTCACTCCTGGGAAGAAAACAATGTGGCAAACAATTTCTGAAAACAATGAAAAATGCACAGACTTGTTAATGTTAGTCCCCAAGAGCTAATTTGAAGAGAGAGGGGAGGGGAGGGAGGGAGGGAGAGGAAAACCGAGACCTAGAATCTAGTGAATAGATGATACACTTTGAAAAAGTACCTTTGGGACTACCAAAACCTGGATGATTGAGAATCTCTATGGACAGGTGACACACTTATTTTTATAAGTAAATATCTCACTATAGGCAGCTTGGTGCTTTCCAAATTACAGTATATAAATTTCAACATTGACCACGATGTCCACAAATTATGGAATTGTGGGAATGTTAGTCTGGAACATTTGAGGGGTCATCTACTCCAATCTAGCGAGCGGTCCACTAATGCATCTCTGACAGATAATCATTTAGCCTCTGTTTGAAAGATCTCCATAGGAAAACACCATCAAATGGGAGCTTCTTCCAATGGCTGATGGCTAGTCTAGTCAGGATGTTCCTTCTGACAGCTGTTAGTCCTGCTCTCTCAGTCTATAAGGAATAAATCCACTTCCTCTTTTATGTGTCAACCTTTCAAATATTTGAAGACTGCTTCTTCAAATCTTCCTTCAGTTGTCTCTTTTGCAAGCTAAACAGAGAGATTCTTTAGCTGTTCCTCCGAGGGCTTGATTCTAAATCTTTCATCATATTGGCAGCCCTCCGCTGAACTTAATTTGTCACTGTCTCTTTTGAATTGTGATGCCCAGAAATGGGCATAATATGCCAAATGGAATGTGACCATGGCAGATAAATGGAGGTATTATTTCACATTAACTAGACTCTGTGTTCCTGTGAAAGTACCCCAACATAACATTTGCCTTTTACAGCTACACTACATTCCTGGCTCACATTTAATTTCTGGTCAATAAGAACACCTAGATCTTGTTCACATGTACTATTGCCAAGCCAGGTCTCCTCCAAGCTATATTTTGCCCTAATTTTTCCTGTCCAGATGTAGCATTTTACATTTCTCCCTATTAAGTTCCATCCTATTTATTTCAGCTCACTCTTCAAGCCTGTCTAGTTCGTTTTGAATCTTCTTTCTGCTTTAGAGCTAGTCCTTGCTTACCAACTGCCTTGTTCAGTAACAGTTCAGAGTTAATATGGTGTAAAAAAACAACCCAGTTTTGTGACCAGTCCTTGCATTTTGACTGTTCCTGGGGTCATGTGCTCGCCATTTGTCTGCTTGCCAACTGGCTTGTGACAAACAGAATTAATGGAGGATGTGAAAGTAAGATTGCAAATTGCAATAATAGTGACTTGCTTAATGACCAAATGGGAAGTGACATCATAAGTCCATGGCAGTCACATGATTATCTGCTTAGTGACCGCAATGCTTAGCAATGCAATTGCTGGTCCCAATTATGGTTGCTAAGTGAGGAATACCTGTAAAGTAACAACTTCCCCTCCCGTCAATGTGTCGTTTGCAAACTTGATATGTCCCTCCAAGACCTTCAATCATGTTATAGTAACTGTGCTGAACCCACAATCCAGACACAGCCCTGTGGCATTTGACACAATACTTCTTTCCAGGCTGAAGTAGAGTTATTAATGAGCAGTGTTTGGATATGGTCATTCAAACTAACTGGGAATTCATCTAACAATAGTATCATCCAGCCAGTGCATTACCATTTTATTATGGAGATTATCATGATAAATTCTGTAGAAAACTTGACTTTCTCCAGGTACCATGTATCTACAACAGTGTTTTTCAACTTCTGCTGTTTTAGGATATGTGGACTTCAACACCCAGAAGTCTCCAGCCAGGATGTACTCGCTGGAGATTTCTGGGAGTTGAAGTCCACACACCTGAAAATTGCTAAAGATGAGAAAGATAGGTTTACGGTATTTTGATCCACTTAACTAGTAACTCTGTTTTAGAGGTAAATTTAGTTTGGCAGAATTGATTGGTTACAAACCATGCCAGATCCTGTTAATTGTAGCATTCGTATCCAAGTGCTCACAAACCTGCTGTTTAATAACCAGCTGAAGACCTTTGTACATAACACACTCCCAACCGACAGTTTTGTGGTTTCCTAAATGCTCTGCTACAGAGACGAGAACATTTCTCCTCTCTGGTCTTCCAGAAAGTTGAAGTGTAACCCATTCAGAAGACAACAAATGGAGGAAGGCTGTACACCAGGGGTGTCAAACTCGATTTCATTGAGAGCCACATCAGGATTGTGTTTGACCTCAGGAGGGCTGCGGGGGGCATAGCCACCTTGATGTCAGGGGCGCCTGTGGCAGCCTGAGCACTCTGTCAGTGAAAACGGGCTCCCAATCTCCGTTTTTGGCTGTGATGGCCTCCTGCAACCCACTGCCAGTGAAAACAGAGCTTGGGAGGGCTGGGTTTTAACTGGCAGAGGGGCCACGGGCCAGTCCTTCACTGTTTCCAGGGCGGGCTCTGTAGGTCAGATATAAGCACCCTGCAGGCTGCATCCGTCTGACTGTCTTGAGTTTGACACCCCTGCTGTACAGAGTACAGCACACAGATACTGTAGAAATAGAAAGCTGAATAGAATTCAAAGTCAATGTTTGAGTAACTTGCAAATGAGAAACAGGAAAATCAAATGAATGAAGGCGAATATACGTGTTCCAGGATCCTGAAAATCAAATGATTTGCTATGTGTTTGAATAACTGTTAAAATCAACTTTAATGTGGGAGGGGAAAAGAAAAAACAGCAACTGCTTCATAAAATTTACATAAAAAATGGAATACAGTTTGGGAACAGTTTTTTTTTTTTTTTACAGTGGTATCTGAAGACATCATTTTTAAGTTACATTTTTTTTAACTGAATTAACCATAGTTGCTAGACAAATGTGTGTGAATATAGAAAGACTTGGTTTTTGAACATCTCCAAATTTTGTCATGCTTTTCTTAGCCAAGTACACAGACCCAAATGCCTATCAGAATGCCTTAAAATATTAAACATAAAAAATGTAATAATTCTGAATTTGCTGATGAGAATATGAGACGGACTTATAAATGAAGACAAGTCAACAAAGGCCATCTTTGCATGCCTTAATTTAAGCATCGGTCATACGTATAAAAATAGGATTATCTCAAAATGACCTGGATTTCTACTCATTGAAGCACATGCCCCAGAAACAGGTCAGAATCTGCTCTCCTTTTTGTAAATTCCTGCCATTATTTTCTTACCATTTGGAGGCCAATTCTAAATATACCCAAGCTTTAAGTTTATCATTGTAAAAGCTGTGATATACTGAGTGTAAATCTCAGAGAGATATTAGATTGGTAGAATTATAAAGAAGCAACTTAAGTGGTTTGGAAGATCTCCTTCAATGTTTTTCTTGTTTTGTACAGGAAAACATAACAAAACAAATGCTGAGTTGTGTTCACATGTACATGTAACCTAGTTAATTAAACCTAATGGGGCATTCACACAATATGCTAAGGTTTGTTTATTTTTTAACAGAACCCAATTAGTTCATAATTCATGAGCTATGCAAACCCCAAAATGGATTAACTTGGTTACCAGTTATGGAGAAAACAATCCCAGACTTAGTAGAATAGTCTGGGCAACCAATAGCCCTTATGTCACATGTAGTCTTTGTCATAATTTCATAAAGCCCTTGTTTAGAAGTCCAAACTCTCTTTGTAAACAGTCAATTTGGATGCTGGTAAAGGTAATAAATTCCTCCCTGTTTCTATATAAGGAGGAAGAGTCAGAAAATTGGGTGTAAAACAAGAGATTGGTGGATGGAGATGTGAAAAAGTGAAAGAATGAGTGGCATCATCATTTTTAGTTCTGTCCTGACAATGTTCCCTTTAGTCACAATCAACTTGGTATGAATGCAGCCCAGATTATTCTGGTGAGAATGAGTACTTCAACACCAGTGCAGGTTGCTCATCCCTGTGGTAGAACCCAGGTACAATATCCTGATAACCAGTAAGAGAATGAAATTCCTCACCACTTACTTCCCTGGATACTTTATAGTCCTAATGAATCTGATTCTGAATAAGTGTCTTTATAGACTTACAGAACTTTTGCCGATGGACTAAAATTGTTGCAGGGATCATGATTGGACAACCATTTGTCTGGAATGGTATAGGGTTCCCTGTCTGAGCAGGGGGTTGGACTAGAAGACCTCCAAGGTCCCTTCCAACTCTGTTATTCTGAAATAAAATTCTGATGGGACCTAAATGGGTTTGTATTCTGTAAATGTATTCTGGATGTGGAAAGGGTTATTCTTCCACATTTGGATCTCACTGTGTCTATTGGCAGATCAATCTAAAATCAGTGACAGATTCTCTGAGACTACACAAATCAAGGCAGAAAGGCAACTATCTGCTGAAAGGACAGGCCCTCTTGACATGAAAATGGCCTTGGAAATGTTTTCTGCCTTGAGATTCATGGCTGTAGGCAAACTTTTGAGAAATGCATTCCAGTTATTAAGTTTGACATTTTGCAATGGCATGTTATATATACTGCATATCCTGTGTGTTTATTTCAACCCAGAGGAATGAACGAATCTGGTTTAATGAGCATTTTTACAATTAATTATGCCACTAGAACAGATCTACTGGTGCAGTGGTGCAGTTGGAAATGCTCCCTCTACATCCCATTAATTTTGATCCTGATTACATGTATGACTGAATCAAGATTCTTTTTGTATGATGAGGCTCCTGTATGCTGGTAAACAATTTCACAAAATAAACTTATGGCCCATTTCCCCCTCTACAATTTCTTCTAAATATTTAGACTAGAAAGATGAAGGTGAAGTTTACTGACAGGACAGCCAGTGAAATCTGTCGTAAGAGCTTTGAGTTGAGATGGAGGGAGGTAAGAAGAATCAGGAATAAATGGGAAAAAGCCACCCTTTTCCTCAACCCCCAAACCTGAAAATTATACTTAAAAATTGAAATTTTGCAGTTTTTCTTTTGCAGTGGCTGACACAGAAGTAAGTTAGCTCAAAAATCCAAACATACCCAGTTCTATGAGAACATGGAATCCAAAGCTATCTTCTAGGGGCAGAATTCTGACATGGCATAGCCATTACTTACATAATGTCAGTTTTGCTTTTTTGGATATCATTCGGAAGGAATATCTGATGCTAACTTATATGAAGTCAAACCATGAATCATCTAACAGAATATTGTCAGTTCTGGCCAGCAGCAGCATTCATCATCTCACAGAAGAGGCCTCCTCAGTTCCATAAGAAGATGGATCCAGGAATTGGATCCAAAAGCATGCAGAAAACTATACCCTCCGACTGAGCTTTAGCCCTTTTCCATGTGCAAAAAGAAGGCAGAAGACAAGGGGAAACTGTAATCTTAGCTCTCTTAATTTAGAATGTCTTTCTGGAAATGAGCAGATAATTCAGAATTGGGGGAAATATCTAAAAGAGGAGAAATCCAGAAGCCTTTCTAGTTTTTAGCGTGTTCCAACAAATACAGCCATGCACAACTAAAGAAACATGCTCAAGCAAAACGAGTTGAATACTTACCACAGGGCTACTGTATTGTTGTTGCATTTCAAAACAAGCCAAAGTTACAGGCGCCCTTGAGCCAGCGGTTAGAGAGGTGAAAGGTCTCTATTGTGTTGAATAACAACTTGGGCTTGCAATCCGATTGCTTAATAGCTCATGCCTAAATTAGAGCTGGAACAGAACTGTTAACCGAGCAGTTCCTGGCAAGGAAGGAACGTTCAGCAAAATTCAGCAAACACATTACCACAATGTGAAACACAGCTGGAAGAGGCACATATCAAGTTTACAACATCAAAATGTCTATCTCGTGAAAAAAAAGGAAATGCAGGCAGCAGGTTGTATGAAGAATTAGCTATCCGGTGTACCGTTTCTTGGGTTGGGGTTTGCTGTTTTAGTCCTTAGCATTGCACTTGTGTCTTCTTTCTCTCCCACAGACCACAAACCCCAGTTGATGAGAACAGCATGGCGTGCAGGACAACACCACCAATTACAATAGTTACAGCAGCAGCTCTAGCTGGGTGATCAGTCTGTGTGATTCGAGGGGTTTCAAGAGGTGGTCTCATCTTCATTCACATCGGGCAGTTCTGGGTCTTTAAGCCCTTCCCGGTTTCCTTGGTTTCTACACATCATCAAGAGGAAGAACATTTCATCACACATTCAAGAAGCAGTGTACACAATATTCCATGTTGTAAGTTATTTGTGTCACACAAGAGGTTAATTGCAGATTCACAGACATTACAGGTAGTCCTCGACTTACAATGGTTCATTTAGTGACTGTTAAAAGTTACGGAGGAAAGTGACTTATGGCCATTTTTGTACACTTATGACTGTGGCAACATCCCCATGGTCACATGATCAACATTCGAACAGTTGGAAACTGGCATGTATTCATGATGGCTGCAGTATCCCAAGGTCATTGTTGTGGTTAGCCGGCAGCAGGTGCAGATGGTGGAGGAGAGTGAGGACTCGGATGAGGGGCCAGAACCATCAGGGAGTGGACTGCTGCCTTCATAGATTGTGGGGGCTGGCAGCAGGGATGAGGAGGTTCCCGAGGAGCCTGTGCCAAGTGCACGTGCATGAAGGATTGCTCGGAGGAAAGAACAATTACAGCAGCACAGGCAACTTGGGAGTAAGGCTGCAAGGTAATGGCCCCTCCCTCAAGAGGATAAAAGCCAGGTTTGGAAAAGTGTTCTTTGCAGACAGCAAAGAAGCTCTGAAGCTCAACTTGTGGACATCTTAGTTCGTGTTTGGAGAATCTTGTAAATTAGTTCTTATCTCTGGGTTTTTGGCAGCCATGACAAACAACTTGGCAAGGCTCTTTCTTGTTGGAGCTAATTAGCGGAAAGCAGCCTTCAGAACAGAATTCGTTATTAAACCTTAAAAGGTGGGGGCTGCTGCCTTTGTCTGTGTTTGCTCTTTGGGAACCTGGTTGGGTCAGAACAGTCATGTGATCCCCTTTTGCGACCTTCTGATAAGCAAAATCGATAGGGAAGCCAGATTCCCTTAACAACCATGTTACGAACTTAACAGCTGCAATGATTCGCTTAACAACAGTGCCAAGAAAGGTCGTGAAAAACGGGGGCAAAACTCACTTAACAAATTTCTCACTTAGCAACATAAATTCTGGGCTCAGTTGTGGCCTTAAGTGGAAGACTACCTGCATCGCTGGCTGAGGAATTGTGGGAGTTGGAAACAAACACATCTTAAAGTTGAGAAAAACTGTCTTACTGGTTTCACAAACAACAAAAAAATTACATTTGGAGAAGTATGTGTCAACAAGTGCAGCAAAGAATGTTATCTGAAACCAAGAGGACTAGAATCTTCTTTATTGATATGCTCAACAGTGGCCCGTATACTTTGGATCATGGGGGCTTAATGTTCAGTCCCAGACCTCTCTGCGTATAGAAAAAAACAGCTGTGCCCAAAATATTTGAGGAGTCAGTCAGCTACCTGCTGTATTTACATAACACATTTAATTCAGTTACCAAAATAATTAATTTTTTTGGACTCACATAATGTGCTGAACCATAAAATTGTCAACTGATTTGGATTCAAACAACACAGCAAGCCACACACACAAACAAAAGTAATAATGACAAATGCCAAGTATGTTCAGCAACATACAGTGAAAATACAGCTGCTCAATTTTTATCAGACCAACTCAAGTTTGTTGTGAGAACAACACATCCAGAATTAAAACAGTGAGCTTGATAGACTGGGGGGTATGGAAACACCTCGATGCCATCAATGTTTTTTTTTAAAAAAAAGACAATGGAAAATAACAAGGGATGGCAAGGGATCCATTAAGAGTTGCTTAATGGTTCAGCTATAATGAGAACCTCTGTTTGCAGATGGAGTCTATCTTGGAGAAGCCATGGCATACAAGGGTTTTTATTTTAATTTTTCTGGAATTTGAAGTTGCTGGTTTAACTGGGCCTTTCCATCTGGCCTAGCTCTTCATTACATTTCTAAGAAATATACGAGGAAAGAACTGATTTCTATTAAACAACACTCTCTCCAGCCAGAGGGTGATAAACCCAGCCTTTGCACCAGATAGCTAGCAAGCTCTGAAAGTGCTCTCGTGTAGTTAGAGGATGAGGAAACAGTGGCTGATACAAGTAACGGCAGGGACCATCAGCTTCCCTATATGATGTATAGACTCAGACAGAAAGATCAGAAAAGTGTTACCCAATTGCATACCAGCCAAGCAACCTGTGAGACAGAGCATTAACAGTCACAATTCCAGGATGGACTACCCCCTCTATCACCTCTTCAGCTTGCTAGTTTTAGTAGGTTTGAAATTGGGTTTCAGGCAGAGGTGGGATTCAAATTTTTTAACAACTGGTTCTGTGGGTGGGGGTTAGGTGGTGGGTGGGGCTTGGTGATAATGTGACTGGGTGGACATGGTTTGGTGGTCATGTTATTGGCTGGGCGTGACCAACTCAACATCACTCACATCGAGGCACGCATCTCCTCGCCTGGCCTCTCATGACTGTGGGGATGCTGCAACAGTCATAAGTGTGAAAAATGGTCATAAGTCACTTTTTTCAGTGCCATTGTAACTTTGAATGGTCACTCCACACAAGCAAAGTACCAGCAAAGGAGAGGGGGAAAACTCCAGAGACGTTCCTGAAACAGGCAGTCTAGTCCTGCCAAGAATGTAATAAGGGTTAATGGAGAGGCAGTTTCTGTAAGCAACACCAGAATGTTTCCTTCCTGCCTTCCTTACAGGATTAGGTCAGTAATTTGAACTGCTTAGAATGTTAACAACCGGTTCTAGCGAATAGGTGCGAACTGATAGAATCCCACCCCTGGTTTCAGGGCTAATGGTAGCTTCCATGTATTATGATATTAAGGCAGTGGTGGGATTCAAATTTTTTTTCCACCAGTTCGGTGGGTGTGGCTTACTGGACGTGCTTTGTGCATGTGCACACACTTTGCGTGCGCTCATGTGCCAAATGCACACTTTGCGCAGGCATAGAGGTGTTTGCACAGGCGTAGTGGCGTAGTAGTTCACCTCCTGCAAGCCTGCATGATGCCGGTTGCTTCAGCAGCTGCCACGCGGAACTCTTCTGTGCAGCTGCGCTTCAAATTCAAAGGATAAAAGTGAGTATGGGAGCCCGAGCGGGCGGGGGCCCCAACAGCAGAGCGGTGGAGAGAACCAGTTTGCTCTCTGCTGCTCATCGCTGCTACCGGCTCTGCAGAACCAGGCCAAACTGAGAGAATACCATTAAGGAGTTTTCATCATGTCTTCTGACTGCCGGTTGATGTTCATGGGTGTGCTCTGCAAGTATTGTCCTACATAGTGGCTGTTACAGTCCTGACATTGTATGGTGTAGATCAGGGGTCTCCAACCTTGGCAACTTTAAGACTTGTGGACTTCAACTCCCAGAATTCATCAGCCAGCTTTCTAGGAGTTGAAGTCCACAAGTCTTAAAGTTGCCAAGGTTGAAGACCCTTGTTGTAGATAGCAACAGCGCTTACTTATATACCACTCTATAGTGTTTTACAGCCCTCTCTAAGTGTTTTAAGGAGTCACCATATTTCCCCCAACAGGGTCCTCATTTTACCAACTTCAGAAGGACAGGAGTCAGAGTCAACGTGGAGCCGGTCAGGATCGAAATGCAGGCTGTTGGCAGAGTTAACAATATTGCATTCTAACTACTGGGCCAACATGGCTCCCAAACAGATCAACCAATCAATCAGAATAGAGCTGGAAGGGACATTGGAGGTCTTCTAGCTCAAAGGTCTTCAAACTTGGCAAGTTTAAGACTTGTGGACTTCAACTCCCAGAATTCCTGAGCTAACATGACTGGAGGAGAAATTCTGGGAGTTGAAGTCCACAAGTCTTAAAGCTGTCAAGTTTGAAGCCCCCTGTTCTAGCTTTCTAGATTAGATTCTAGTTTTCTAGGACTTCTAGATCTTCCCTGTTTTTTCTTCTTCTTGGGCTACTGGGTTTCTTTTTTTGCTTAAGATTTGTTAATGTGCAAAATATATTAGCATGCATATAATAATAGATATCAAAATCCCAGCAAAGCATTGGCAGCTTGGTGGGCAACCCTAGACAAAAGTAGAAGCACACCTCATTTACCTTTAGCTACTGCATTGCAAAGGCAAGTCAAAGGTAGACACAGTGTAAATTAGAGCAGGATGTTGCAATGCTTTTGATTAATCCATCTGGATGACCTTCTTCTGTTTATCTCATCCTGCTATGTGTGCATGCTAGCCATACTATCTCTTAGGTATAGCCAGTGAATAGAAACAGTTTGGTTTACTGGGCCAAACATTTCTTTTTCCCCCCTGTCACCACTCAGGGTCAGCTTGCTTGAAATGATTGCTAATAAGACACTTTAAGCAGTTCACATGTATTGGGTGGTTGGTTAAGTCTTACTAGGTTTGGTAGAGAATGTAGTTCACATGTAGATAGGGGGATATCTTTTACCACCACGATAGTTCAAACGTTTTTGAGAGTTCTCAGGGCATCACTGTGAACAGATGGTTTGGTCTGCTTGAATAATCCAAGAGATACGTGGAAGAGAGTTGCCTTCTATCTCAGGCAGAAAAGCCCATCACTGCCTAAAAAAAGGCAGCTGCTGCCAGTTGGCATAAAATATGCATATCTAAATAGCTGTCAATTTGCATAAACTTTGCAAGTGGTAAGTTAAGTGAGGAGATGCAGGCAATTACGATTATTTCACCAGACATGAAATAGTACAATTCAAAGGAGCAGAGCTCAAAGGAACCTAGATTGACCATGTCATACTAGAATTCAACATAATGCGGACACGGGCAATTGAAAAAAAAAGTTAAACTAGAGTTCTAGACTTCAAGAGAGTTGAGTACAACCAACTATGAGAGAAATTAGGAAGGATTCCATGGATGGAAATCTTAAAGGGAAAAGCAAATTAAGATGCTCAGGAAACTATAGAAATGAGATTATTAAACCTCAATCAAACACAATACTACAGAGAAAGAAAAAGAAAGTCCCCAGATGAAATCAGCACGGTTGCGTAAAGAGCTCACTGACAAACTGAGGGACAAAAAGGACAAGTATAAAAAAATGGAAAGAGGGGCTCATAACTAGGACAGAATATCAGCAAACAGCTCAAATCTGCAAGG